CTTACATCATAAAATCATCACACAACAATTAAGAGCAATTACCCCCCCTCCCCTCTTAAAAAAATATTACCTGCTGTACCATTTTGGTTTCCATAGACCAGGGGTAGGCAACTTTTTTGAGTCCTGGGCCGGTGCCCCGAAGTCCTCCTCTCCGCTGGGCCAAGGGGGGGTAATTGCGGTGCGCACGCTCACACGCGCGCACACACACCCCTCCACCACTCGCGACCCCCGCGTGCGCTGCCGCCGCTGCCACCACACATGTCGCAGCCGCCATTTTGATTTAAAAAATGGTGGCCACAACGCGTTTGTGCATGCACAGGAGTACTGCACATGCACAAATGAGTTGCAGACGCCATTTAGGAGAACAAAATGGTGGCCGCGACTCATTTGCGCATGCGCAGTACTCCTGCGCATGCGCAAACATGTTGCGGCCACCAGTTTGGAAATCAAAATGGTGGCCGTGGCACGCGCAGCCGCCTGGAGGCTAAAATACGCGGTGGCGGCGGCGGTGCGTGGCAGCGGTGGCAGGGGTCCGCCTGGGCTGGTAAGTCCGGTGACCTGGGCCAGAACCGGCCCGGGGGCTGTAGGTTGCCGGCCCCTGCCATAGATTTTAAAAAACCAAAACAAAACAAAAAAACCAAAAATACATCTTTATTACATTTCTAGTCTGTTTTTTTAATTCAAAAGCTTAGGATGGTGTACATATCACAGTTCTCAACCCAACCCACCTTATTTTATCCTCAAAACAATAATGTGATGTAGGTTAGACTAAGAGTAAGAGTCAGTCTTATTGGGCCCAAATATTCTAAAGGAACTAGATTGATCTTGGAAGCTAAGCAGGGTCAGCTCTGGTTAGTACTTGAGTGGGGGATTGCCCAGGAATACCAGGTGTTCTTGTTGTGTTGTGTGCCTTCAGGTCATTTCTGATTTATGGCAATCCTAAGGCAAATCTATCATGGGATTTTCTTTGCACGATTTGTTCAGAGGAGGTTTGCCATTGCCTTCTCCCGAGGCTGAGAGATGTGACTTGCCCACATCGCTCATGGCTGAGAAGGGAATTGAACCCTGGTCTCCAGAGTCATAGTCCAACACTCAAACCACTATACCATGCTGGCTCATAGGCTATATTTCAGAGGAAGGAAGTGGCAAAACCACCTCTAAGTATTCCTTGCCTAAGAAAACCCTATGAATTTCACGGAGTTGGCATAAGCCAGCAGGCAACTTGAAGACACATGCCCAAGATTTACAGAGTTCAGTGGGGTTTAGGCATGGATATGTTGTGTACAAACAGTGCATCTTGCATATCATAGTCTTTCAGCCTCTCTACCATTTCCCATGCTTTTGTACACACTGGTATGCATACATATGTTCACACCAAAGAAAAATACTTCATGCTAGAGGTAGAGCCAAGCCGATCCAGGAAGGGTTAGGTCCCTGGGATACCAGTCACATTGAGGGATGCTACACATTGCCTTCCCTGCTGCCAGTCCCTGCCATGGAAGGAAGAAGGGAGAATGAAGGAAAAAATGGAGAAGCACCAGCAGCTGAGTGGGTGCAAAGGCACTGTGGGACTGGGAGGCATTTGGAGAGACACTAGTGGTGTGGCACAGGCAATTTCCCAGTTCCTCCTCCCACAGTTGCTTGGCTCTAGCAGGGATTTAGAACAATAGCTGGGCTCCCAATGTTCC